AAATCATCATACCCTTCCACGTGTTCTGTTTACCGGGAAGGTAAAACTTACTTTTTCCGTGGGCAGTTCCCTTAGAAACATACCTTCAAATAAACTGCCCTAGGAAGCCTGCCCCCCTTCCTCTCCCTCTGATGGTCTCCACGTTTAGAGTATCGGCCAGCTACAGCGCATCCCTGTCCCCCGGCTTGTCTGTGGTCCCCAAGCAGGAGTCAAACCACGTCAACCACAGTTCCATCGTCTGCAAAACCCGCCTCGACTACACCTTTTAATAAGAGCACAGCAAACGTACACTACAAACAGCCGCACGCTGGACAAAGGGCGCCACCTAGTGGTCACATCGTAGAAGTCCTCTCTCGCGCAGGACACGTCCAGTCCTGAAGGGGGCGCAACATCTCACACAACTAAAGGGACCAAGGGGAAGGGGAAAAAAAAAAAAAACCAACCCATCTTTAGGTTTATTGGAGGAAGAGGGTGGGAGAGGGGACAATAAAATGCTTTTGCTTCGTTTATAAAGAGCGAGTCCTCAGGAGGTCCCTTCTCAAGGACAAGCGGGGTACCTCTCCCCCAACTACCAACAGCAGAAAAGCCAAGCCAAGAAGGGAGAAGGGAATCGGAGGGGCCCAGGAACTCCAAACACCAGCTCTGACAGGAGCCACAAGCTCTCCCCCCACCCACAATGTATCTACCCCAGGGGATCCATCATCCGGACGGGGAAAAGGATATATACACAGGTTAGGGTGGTACTGGGTTGGGTGGGGTCGGGAATAATTTATCCGCAGCTGCGGTGGGTGGTCAGGGGGAAGGGGGAGGAGCCTGATGGCACTGGCGGTCTAGGGGTCCCTTTCTTTCTTGACCTTGATGTCTCCAGCAAGGATGGTAGCGATCTCGCCCTGCATGAAGGCCCAGGGGACCGAGGAACCCACCAGCGGACACTTGTCTCCACTGGGGCAGTACACCTCTCCAGCTGGGCCCTGCGCCTTGATGAACTCTCGGGAGCAAGGAAAGCAGAACTTGTGTCCGGGTACCGAGGGACACTGCACGAAGTGGGTGTCTTCCAGCCTCTCTCTGCACAGGGTACAGCACAAGGGGGCTCCAGGGGTCGCCCCTGTGCCGCTACCACCCCCGCTGACAGCTTCAGCACCGGCCGTGGGGCTGACTTCTGCCTCTCCATTGCGCGCCACCAAGCGATGCTGGGTTGGTGGTTGGGTGGTGGAGGAGGCCGCAGGGCTGGCGCCCCCGGTGCGCACGGGGCCGCCACCCCCACCGGGGTCCTTGGGTGAGTGGCCCAGGGCCTCGGCCACATTCTTGAGGGCAGCGATGGGCGAGGGCACACCGGGTGTGTCTGTCGAGTACGGGCCACCCGGTGCCACCCAGTGCCGCTGCTGCTGCTGCTCCTCCGTAGTCATCTTCCCACCCGACTCGCCCTCGGGCTCCGGGGATGCCTTGCGCCGGCGTGGCGTGGGCGCCAGGTTCCGGGACGGGGCTCGCGGCGGTGGGCCACACAGCGCGGCTTGGACCGGTTCTGGGTACTGCTGGGGCAGGGCCTCCGCAGGAGCAGGCTCTCGGAAGCTGCGGACCCCGTCGGTGAGCAGCTCTCCCAACTGGCGCCATTCCCCGGAGCCGTGGCGGCGTTCGTACTCGAGGTACTTGAAGCCCGACGAGGCCAGGGCCTTGCCCGGCTCTCGCAGGGCATCATGAAACATCTGGCGGGCGACCGCAAGGACCCCCGCGTACACATTGCCGGAGCCACAGGGGTATTCGGTGAAGAGCTTCAGCTCGAACTCGTAGCCGGGAGGGCGGGCGGTGGCATCGAAGGCGAACACCCTCCCCACCAGCCCGTGGTCCTTCTTGAAGCGGACATTGAAAGGGGCGCAGGCGGACAGCGCCAGTAGCTGCTCGCGCACAGCCTTGGGACGCCCGTGCCACTCCTCCGCCCGGCCCCGCATGGCCTCGTTCAGTTCTGCCAAACAGTCCGCATTCCTCTGCTGCTTCTCCTTCTCGAAATCGGAGCCGAACAGGGGACGAGCGGGGCTTAAGCCAGGTGCCAGCGTCAGGGCTCGGCCTCCGAGGCCAGACACTGCAGCTGCCAGCAGCCCGGGGGGCATCAGGCTGGGGATGGAGCCAAGCAAAGCCCTGCGCGCCCCTTCTGCCACGGCCTCCTCGCGGCCCAGCCCGTTGGCCAGCCGGGACCCCAGGGTGTACTCCAGGGCCGGCGAAGGCAGCGCCAGGCGGGTGGATGAAGTGGCCCTGTCATAGCGGTCCGGGCCCGAGACGCTCCCTCCGGTCCCCGATGGCTGCGCCTGGGCCTGCGGGGGTGGCAACTGGGAGCCCTGCGAGCCCGCGGAGGCCAGGTCCTTGGAGGTCGGGTGCTTGAGGGCCGGGGGTCCCGGCGAGCGGCCCTCGGGGAGCACGTGGCTGCGCTTGAGCTGGCGGGCGGCGTCGATGAGCAGCTCGATGCGGTCCGCGCCCTCGAAATTCACGCACCCGCGGCACACGGCCTCGCTGAAGTCCCACACCATGGCCCACGGCATCTTGGGCAGGTCGCACAGGTAGCACCACTGGCGGCGGGACGCTTGCACGGACGCCATGGCGCCCCCCCGGAGCGCCGCCCCGGTGCCCCCCGCGGTGGCCCCCGCCGCCCACGTTCGCTC